GTGACCGTTATATATTTATTAATAAAATATATAATTAATTAAGTAATTCATAAATAAATTTAAATAAAAACCTTATTTTTGAAATTTAAAATATCAAACCTTAATTTTGCAATGTGTATAAGTAAAAGCAGGATTTATGTATATTTCCCAATATTAAATACTCTATAAATGATAACAATTTTTTTTATAGCTTTACGCTTTAACAAAGTAAAAGGTAATTTTTTATGTAGATCAATTTTTTTACTATTTAATTTATCCTTTGTTCCCAATAAAAAATCAAATTCGAATTCTAATTGTTATTTAATTATTTGTATATATGATGTAATAAGTATAATTTTTTTATTATTATTTTAGACTATTAAATTAAACAAAAAATAAAAAAAATAATATTTTAATCAACGTGTCGACGGCGTATCGTGTCGGAACTTTTTCAACAAATCACATATCGACGTATCCGACATGTATCGTGTCGGACACTCGTATCCGTATCGATTCTTCTTAGATGTCAAGTTCAGGTCCAGGCATGAATGCTGTAGCGAAAACAACAACTTCAATTTTCCGAGGGAACCTTTCCTTGGCAAGAGATATGCAAATTTCACCAAGGCTACGACCAACCAGAATCAACCTCTCGTCTGGTGTCAAAGCCACCATAAATTCCGGCAATGGGTTGTAGTAGTCGGTGAAGGAGGTGAGCTCCTCCAAATGCTTAGGATGAACACCAGCAGCTGCCATGTCAAGGATTGTGACTTGGTGGCCTTTAGACCTAAGATGAGTCACCAATTTGTACCAACACCATGCACCATGGCATGCTCCATGAACCAACACAAAATGCTTTTGTTTTTCACTCTTCTCCATTCTCTTGTTCTTGCTTCTCTGCTTTCGATCCTTCGATTTACATATTTCTCAGCTTCAATTAAATGACTTAAATACAGTGTGGGTGTCATAATCGAGGGTGGCTATCAATTTTCACAAAGTTGTTTTGGAATTGGACACTTCCTAATGTGTGATTCTAGTTTGGCCCGCTCCTGCTCAAAGAAATATTGTATAGCTGATCTGACAAAACAATCGGAGCTAGTGTTTCTTAGTACAATTCAACATTGATCTATGGATTAATTCTATCAATAAAACAACACAAAATTGGGCTTCATCGATTTCCATGAAACATATAACTTCTTATCTCTTGGGTTATCCTATCTAGTACCGTGTAGCTACATTGTTGTCATTTTTTTAACTTCACATCTTGATCTTGATATTAGTAGCAAGACTCACTTTTCGAATTAACTGAATGCGAAGGCTTATTTTGAAGTGAAAACGTCACCCCCTTGTTTGACCATCTTTTTCTAAAACTCATTTTTCTTAAAATTTTTCCCAACACATATTATGAGACCTACAATTTTTTTCAAAATTTACTAAAAAAATTATTTTTAACTAAACCAAATACAGGCATATTTGTACCAATTGCATTACTGTCAAATAAAAAAAGAACAAGAACAAGATGCACAATAAAATTGATATTAATTACTGAATCAACAATTTCGTCGACAAAAACAACATGACAGTCAGACAATAAGAATAATGTGAGCTCAATCAGCGATCAAGACCTTATTTATACATTGTCTAATGTTATTTCAGTTTTCCTTCATACATAAGTCCCCCCCAGGAAATTAATTATATGGGCCATGACAACCAAAAAGGGTAAGAAATTGGAATAGCATTATTCAATTTTCTGCTATCTCTTGCAAGCAGAAGCACAGTTCTTGAGGTTTAGAGAACATAGCCATGTGATCTGCACCAGAAATCATTTTCACCTCATCACTTGGATTATTTTCAATCATCCACCTCTGGAATCCTTGCTTTAAAACATTATCATTTTCACAAATCAAATAAACACGTCGAACCAAACCATAGTTTTCTTTTGAAAGAGACAGTTCTTTCAGAAATTCTGGTCCTTCGTGGAAACCTACTGGTCTCACCAACAAGGTTGCAAGAGCCAAATCCTGTTAACTCGAATTCAAAAAATTAGGACAAAAGTGATGCAATTTTGGAGGTAAATTTGATGCCAGATTTGTGTGTACATGTTAGCATACTAACCTCAGGAGGTGACAGCTGATATAACTCGCTAGATAAAAACTTGGGGCCAAAGACGAGGGAGGTAGGAAGTTTGTCCACTCCATTTCCGAATGTTAATTGGCTGTCCTTGTAAGAATCCAACTGTTTTTGGTACTGTACATAAGCCAATTATTACGATGAGATTCAGCCCACGTTTGGCTAATGTTTATAAATTATTTATAATCGACCAAATTACTTTCAATTCACACATTTAATGGGACTGATAAGGACTGTCGACTTATCAACCACTTATTTCTATCTGATTTATAAATTAAACCATTTATAAGCATTTCTCAAGCATTCAATGATTTTTGCACGTCCTCACCTCTTGATTAGTGGCAAGAATGTCAAGCTCAGGACCATGCATGAATGCTGTAACAAAAACAGCAACTTCAATTTTCCGAGGAAACCTCTCCATGGCAAGAGATATGCAAATTCCACCAACGCTATGACCAACCAGAATCACCCTCTCGTTCGGTGTTAAAGCCCCCATAAATTCCAGCAATGGGTTGCAGTAGTCGGTGAAGGAGGTGAGCTCCTCCAAACGCTTAGGATGAACACCAGCAGCTGCCATGTCAAGGACTGTGACTCGATGGCCTTTAGACCTAAGAGGAGTCACCAATTTGTACCAACACCATGCACCATGGCATGCTCCATGAACCAGGACAAAATGCTTCTGTTTTTCACTCTTCTCCATTCTCTTGCTCTTGCTTCTCTGCTCTTGATCTATCGATTTACATATTTCTCAGCTGCAATTAAATGACTTAAATATAGTTTGGGGGTCATAATCGAGGGTGGCTATCAATTTTCACAAAGTCATTTTGGAATTGGACACTTCCTAATGTGTGATTCTAGTTTGTCCAGCTCCTACTCAAAGAAATATTGTATATTTGATATGACAGCACAATTAATGTTTCTTAGTATAATTCAACATTGATCTTGACGAAGAATTAACTCTATCAATAAGACAACACAAAATTGGGCTTCATTGATTTCCACGAAATATATAACTTCTTATCTCTTGGGTTATCCTATCTAGTACCGTGTACGTCATTGTTTGTCATATTTTTTTTATTGTTACACAAAATTATAAATGTTGTGTTAACTATTATGTCTTTAAACGGTACTTTCAATGATCGACTACATTAAGTAGGTTAGAAAATTCCGTTCATTTGATAAAATCTCAACTGCATTGTCATAAATTAAGGAAATGCTATTCATAATACAGAATCTCGACGTGATTTTATTTTTATTTTTTCCTACCATTTCATGCCATTCCCTGGTGTGGAAATAGCTAGATCTGGCAAGTTAAAACAATCCCCACCACTAACAAACCCATTCTCTCCACTCTCAAGCTGCCACGTGTTACTGACCATTCCAACACTGCCACTAGTGAGCCCACCTTCTACAGCCCCAGGAAAGGGCCAGAATGCTCTTCCAAGCCCAACTCCGACATCCTCGAGCCCAGACCCAATTCCATGCCCAAAGCCACCTAATGACAGAAGCCCAGTGCCCTGAGTATTTAACAATGAGGTGAAACTTCCACACATGGGCTTAGCATCAGTAACAAACGGCACGGCACCGCAGTGATCGGCGGCGAAGGGGATCAGAAGCTGAGAACTGGGGGCGGGCAAGTGGTGGAAGTCATGATAAACAGAGGAAACGGAATCTAAGCCGGTGGAAGCAGTGTTGTTACTGGTGACAATGGTGGTGCGTGAACGTTTAGCATTCTTCCGGCTGCCACCGCCAACTGGAATGTCACGGAGGGTGCCACCGTGGGTCCAGTAGCGGCGGCAGGACTTGCAGAAGTGACGGGGCTGCGAGGAGTTGTAGTTGTTGTAGTAGCAAAACTTAGTGTTGGTGGAGTCGCAGCGTGGGCAAGGGAGGTGCTCTGGCTCCGGCGGTGGTGCACCCACTTGGCTTGACTTTGTAGCCTTCTTTTCACTCATATGATCTGATGGCATTTATCTACTTAGTTTTTCTCTTACTGTATAGAGTACAGACTATATAGACTACAGAGCCGTTGAAGCTGAAACGAAGAGTGGCTAGTTAACAGTAAAGTGAACGAAAAATGGAGGGTTTCGGGGAATTATGGGAAGGCGAAGAAGGGGTTTTATTTTGGAGGGTTAGAGAGAGAAAGAGAGACCCTGTGTAGGGTTTATGGAAACAGTGTGTCTGAGTTCTGAGACTTATGAACAGCTTTTGCAGAGATTTCTGTTAAGAGGTATGAATATATACNCTCCTTTCTACTCCTACAGTATTATGGAGGAGATAAATCGCGAAATGTGCCTCAACAGATCAGGGTACAAGAGCTATCTTACTAGTGTCCCAAAATAAATACTCATGTACTGATTGTTTCAATTTCCACCGAGTAATGCTAACATTTTTAGTACAATAATACAGTAATATTCAGTTTTATGCTCGTACATTTTTTTATCTTATACTCTTCCTCTTTCATTCGTATATATTAAAAACATCGAAGAATTTGAGGTTTGAGACCACCACAGTAGCCTCCTTGGCTCTACCTTACAAAAATTTCATTGAACATATCATTTAATGTTGTTATATTACAACATAATGATAACGAATATCAATAAAAATATCGTTTTATTTCAATGAACCTGAAAGCGAAAAATACCATACTAGTTCATGATTCGACTTTGACCTCGGCGAACAATCGCTAAATCACTTTACGAACAAGCAACTTGCGTGCGGGAGAGTGAAAAATTAAAGGAAAATATATAAATCACATGTGTGTGATAACTGAGGTTATGATGAATAAGGGACTGAATTATGGTACTAAAATTTAGTGGGCTGCACATAATTATTTTTTCCACCTCAATTAGTGAAAGAGTGGGACACATAAGTAAAGGAGAAGAAGAGAATCTTGACAAAAATTTCTTAATTCTCAAGAAGGATTAAAGAACATTCAGTCAATGTAAACAATTCCAAAAATCTTTAATTGGTAGAAAAATCTCTTTTCTTTTCATTGTCGAGACAAATTTTAATAATGAAAGATTTATTTGCCCTGTTCTTGGAAACATGGCACAACTTCAATCTTAGATCTTTGGTAACGATAATGTCTTAATTGTAGCACATTTTAATGGCTTGACTCATCCCACAAACGAGCTGAACAGAGAAAATTGAGTGAATGCAATTTTCAATTAAAAAAAATATGAGTTGCGAGTTGCTTGTGAGCATGGATTTTTAAACGAGCAAGCTCGTGCTCAACTCACTTCGAGCGCGAGCTGACTTCATTTATCCCATTTAATATCCGTAATTGCAATGAATAAAAAATCAAATTTAAAAGTATTGTCACCTGTATGGTTAGGCTTCATTTATTGAATTAACTTTTATTAGATTCAAATTAATTTTCTTTATGATAGTCAATTATGGTAGTTTTTAATTTCTTGTAATTGTTTCCAATTTTTGAATGATTGATTTGCAAGATTTCAGGAGAATAATTATAATCTCTCATTATGTAAAAGGGATTTATTTCCAGATTGTTGGATTGCGAGAAATTTTGAACAAGAAAAAAATGTTTTATTCTTCACTATCTATTTCATATATTTTTTTGATACCCGCTATTTTTCATTCATCATTTTTATATATTTTTTTCATTCTTTCTAATTTTTCTGAAAAAACATTATATTCATCCACATTACACTCTTAACGTTATCGTTATTAAATTCATTTATTTAAACATTATATATATTCGTGCCACTTTTACATCTATCTCGCCGCTGAATAATTAGAACATTTTCAAGAGACTCTCTATTTATAAAGAATATCATATATACAATATAGAGTGTCTTTAAATTTAGAGAGCAAATTTTTTTATGCACTCTTTTGATTCTTTATTTTGTTTTTTTTTAATGGAGTTTCACTTGTGGATTTGGATGAAAACAAAAGCAAAATCTATTCAAAACGAAGCAATTATTTTCTTATACATTATTTCTTTAATGGAGTTTCATTCTTGATTTGCTAAAGATGATGAAAATAAGGAAAAAATCATTCATAATGTACCAAAACAAAGTATCCGATATTGTGGAGAACTGCATTTCTTATGCCCCTGTTGAAATTTAGATCGCCGTTGAATATTTTACGTACTCAAATATATATTGTCAGAAATAAATTTAAAACAAGATAAAGGCCAATGTATATTCCATTGTATACATCTTTGTGTACATTCTATTGTATTTTAAAAAATATCGGACGGGAATGTGTGCGTATTTTTTTTTAAATTGTTCAATCTTGTATCATCACGTGGCACGATGGAAAAAATAATGTAAACAAAGATGTACATGTACCATAATTGTTATGAATATTAGAGTTTTAATTAAAGAATATAAAAAGTTCAAAAATAATTAACGAGGATAAATATTAGTAGATGAATTTATGATTTTATTCATGTCCATTTAAGTAAATTTAGATAAGGTAAAAAAAATGCAAAGATGATTTTTTTTTTAAAGAAGTGGATAAATATGTAAGAATAATGGATGGAAATATTTTATTTTATTTGGGTGGTTGTAAGATCACTTCACTTTAACACTGTAATATTTTGTTGAACCAACCATTACTATGCTATGTCATAGTCAAAAAGGAAACTTGAAGCAAAACCAAAACTGAAGGGTGGAAGAAACACAAATAGATACAAAAAACACACTGAGTCCGTGTAAGAACAGGAAAAAGATTTGAGTGATGCTAATTAGGACAGACAATATCATGAATGTCGGAATAGCGTGGGAGTGCAATTATTGGATTGCTTCCCACTGATTCCGGGACCCGTCGTTTTCATTCCTCACCGTCTCATTCTTATCCTCCTCCGTACTCTAATTCCTTGCCGGATTTTACGCTCCAGTCTTCCCCACTTCTACCCCACCAGTAACTTCCATGTTCTCTACCATCGCCACCCTTGATCTTGAAACTCAAACATTGACTAATCTATAATATATTAAATATCACATCAAGTGAAAATTATTTTTTGAACATCGTAACACTACTACAATTCAATTATTTCAATAATACACCACTATTCATTTTTCAATATTTAATAAATACTCATAAAATCCTTATCATGTATGAATTTCGTGTTATTAATTCTCAATTAATCAATATTCATATTAATCTAGATTCAATGAATCTTAACTTGATAGATCTTGATATATATGAATTTAGAGTTATTATAAATAATTTATTTCTATTCATGTATTGATGAATTTTAACGTGTGTTTAAATTCATGTATTAGCAATTAATTCTTATGTACCAAATATAGTATAAAAATGTTGCTCATTTGTAGTATTTCGTCATCACAAAAATAAAAGAATAGTAGAAATTGAGTTTTGAGAGTACAATTTTCCTTTTTTAGTTTCTTTGAGACTTGTCAAATCTTCTCAACAAATTAGTATCAAATATTACTTTTACAGCACTTATAAAATATTTCAGAATAACGTACAATATACGTTCAACTCTAACTAATCCTTGGTAAAGATATGTATGTATACATGGTTAAATCAACGAATAGCCACTGTACTTTATACTTAGTGTTACATTGACCACCCAATTTGATTTGATTTTATCATAATCACTTAATTTTATTTAACGTTTCAATCAAGCCACCTGCTAACCTTATATAACAAAAGTCCTACGTGGACTAATGACTTACTGTAGGAGGGCGGTGGTCGATGATGGGTGGGTGGTGATTTCTAGTTTTGATTTGGGTTGGTGGTAGGAGTGGAGTGGGGTGGGGTGGGGTGGGGTGGGGTCGTTTTTACTTTTTTTTTCTTTTACTTTTTATAATTTATTTTATATAATGCAAAATTACTGTATTACCCCTTTTAAAATTAGTCAAAAGAAACATGTTAGCAAGTCATTAGTCTATGTAGGATTTTTTTGTTAAATAAAGTTATTGGGTGGTTTGATTGAAACGGTATTTGTAGTTGGATGGTCATGATAAAATTAAATCAAATTGGATAGCTAATGTGACACTAAATATAAAATATAGTGGTCATCGATGGATTCAACTAATGTATAAATAAAAAATAGTCAATGCAGATAATGTCCAAATCTTTTTTTTTTATTCGTAAAATTAATTATATTGATCAAATCGGTATACAAGTGCTCCGGGCATTTCTTTTGGCTTTATTCCGCCATGAAGTGCATCTTGACTCCTTTTTCATCCACTTCAATGCGCTAGTGACGGTGGTCATAGCAGTCACGCGTTTTATACAACGTGAATATTTGGACAAACAAATTGGAATGATGTTGTGATTTTTATTTAATAATAACAAGGTCGGGTTTTGCCTACTCCTACTTGCTACAATCCGTGGCAATGCAGCAACCAAACACAATGTGCTGGATAAATTCCAAAATCTTAAAGCTTGAGAAAATGAGAATTTAAAACCAACAAACTGAAAACCAGATAAAGATGCACGAAAAAAGACCAGAAATCACCTAAGAATAGATGAAATCAAAGCAAGAAAAGAAGAAATCAGTAGACAAATGAGCAACAAAGTGGGAGTTTCTCTCACTAAGCTTGAGAGAATCTCTCTCTAACTCACTGACTTTGACTGAGAGCTCTTTCTTGATTATGTCCAAATCTTAATATTGTAATAGATGCCCACAGACCTTTAGAAAATGTGCAGTAAAGATCGGACGGTTTCCGGCCAAAGATTTGTTAGTTGACCAAAAGTCAAACCTGAACTTTAATTTGACAAATTTTAAAACGCGCCAAAATGGTAAATTTATATTTTTTTTTCAAGTAAAAATAATTAACTCATGTTTAGTGAGAATTGAAATCATATTTTTAGAAAATTTTAATAAAAAATTGATGAAATTTGTGATTGAAGAGTTGTGGATCCCATAAAATGTGTAGTTAAAATTAATTGTTAAATAAGATTGAAATCTTGATTTTAATCAATACCTAACAAGGACTACATGAAAAAAAAACTTCGGTAGAAAATC